CCTAATTTATATCCGTATGTTTCACATACGTCAAAATGTCGTCATAGACTCAAATGGGACCAGGACTGACGATCCTCACGATAATAACCTTAGCACGATTATCATCGTGCATCAGGTCATTGTACCGACATTTTGAATTTTTTTACTAATGTCTCAAAAATGTATCTTTTTAAAACTTATTAAGAGAGACGATATCAATATTGAAGAAATTGATATATGGAAATATTTGATAAAATGGGGAATAGCTCAATCTGCCGCTTTTAATGAAAAATTTTCCAAAACAGATGTTATCGATTGGAAAGAGGATGATTTTGCATATTTAAGAAATCAATTGATCAATTTATTCCATATATTCGATTTTATGAAATATCTAGAGATTAGTTTTATTTTTATATTAGACCATATAAAAAAGTAATACCGGAAAATCTTTATGAAGATTTAATGGCATATTTTATGTCTAATATATTAAATCCTAAAATTTCAAGGTTACCATCACGTCATAGATATATTATTAGAATTGATTCTGTCATAATTAAAGGGGACGATGCCGCAATCATATCTGATTGGATTGAAAAAAGAACCAATTTTTCTGAGAAACCTTTATATCAATTTATACTTACTTATCGAGCAACACGCGACGGATTTAATTACAATAAATTTATTAATAAAAATTGTAATGGTGCAATTCTTGGATTAATCAAAGCTTCAAATCAGAAAAAATCATTGGTGGATATAATCCCTTAGGTTGGAAAGCTGTCAACAATAATCGTGGTTTTTTTGGTGGTCCTTCTAGTGGTTTTAATTTTGGTGCCAATAACAATCATGCCTTCAATAGGTATTTTGGTGGCAATAACAATCATGCCTTCAATAGGTTAAATTTGGTGCCAATAACACTTTTGATAATAACAATCGTAATACCTCTTTTGGTCAGCGATGGGAACAAACTTATGGTAGGTGAGTTATAATTTTTCATATTTATTCTTAATTGTATGGTTTATAGGTATGTTATATAATAATTTTTATAAACCATAAATTTTGTAGTTTTATCTTTTGCTTTGGAAGTGGGGTCGATTCTGATAATTGTATACTTAGCTGTGTGAGAGTCCCTTCGCAGGCAATTTGTAATAATAGCGGTGCTTGGATGAATTTCGGAAATTCTGATTTAGTATGAATGGATCCTGCGTACAAAATTATTATGAAAAGGAAATTTTAAATAATAATAATTTCGTAGTTAAAGAATTAGAGACATTTATCATAAAAAAAGTAATTAATTAGCATTCTTAAAATTTATTTTTGATTTTTGATAAATATTTTTTATGAAGTTACAAATTAACTTTATACTATACACGTCACTCTGGTTATATCGACATTTTTGAGACATTAGTAAAAAAATTCAAAATGTCGGTACAATGAGTTATACCGACATTTTATATTAAATTTTTGAAAAAAAATATCGGTATAGAAAGATTTTACTATGATGTCGTTATATCCAGATGTTGGTATAACCAGAGTGACGTGTATTAGTTATAAGTACTATTTATTCCCCGTGAAGCAGGGAATAATAGTCAATTATTTCCCCAGATTTTTTTCTCCGGCTCTGATAGGAACCGGAAAATCCAGGTAAATATTTCATTATTCCACCGCTTCACAGGGAATAAAGATGTTATTCTTCCGTTTTATCATTTGTCAGCCAGAGGCTATTTTCTTCTGAGTTCGAATTAATGTTATTCCCAAATAAGAGTGAAAACACTGGAACCTACAATTAGTCAAAAGGTGAATAACTAATATTGTAAATAGGGAGAGCAGATAATATTGCATGGTTTAGCTCAAATAGTTAACGTAATACTGGATTTAATAATCTAATTACTATAAGGGTAAGAAAAATTATAGTCAGGTTAAGGGTCGGTGATCAAAAAGGGATGATAGTATATAAATAAATAAATAAAATAAGAAAAAAAAACGTGACTTGGCCAGGACACCAATTTATATTCCAACAATATAAAACAATTTTATTTTAATTGTTATTGCATTCAACAATTATTTTTGCATTTAACATTATTTGGATGACAACGAGTACTACAAGTTGCACCCGCCTTTTTATATTTACAATGGTTTTTTAAGCAATCGCCTTTGCAAAGACATTTGGTTGCAGTTATAGACCCAGAGCTTTGCTGTATTGTGGCTTCACGTGCATTTACACAAGTTTCAGGAATAACTACAAGCTCTGGATATTCTCTAAAAGTTCCAGTAACAGGAACCAATTCGATAGCTGAATAATGCTCATTTAACCTTCCATATTGGCAACCCAAAATATATGTTTCATTCTTAGTAATTTCTAACACTTTACAAGGTATGTATCGTCAGCACGATCAACTTCGAAAATTCGAATTTGAACCAAGTCGTTTTGTTCAAATTTGCGCTGATGTTTTCTCCCTTTTTCCATTTGTTCCCTCATTTTTTCCGTATACGCTTCCAAATGATTAATAGCTTCAGCTTCTATAACGTTTTGAGTTGCATGAAAAGACAGAAAAGGGCGTGAAACTTGATTCTTAAAAAAAAAATATATTATTAATACTTATTAAACATATTTGCCTTTAATTTTTAAAAATCAAATACTTACCATTCTCGCAGTCATATTACTTAATGGCAACCTCTGAATAAATATTGATATTCAGTTTAAGAATAAAAAATACACGTATATATAATATCCATATTTAAAATGTTTAAATTATACTCGCCATATTTCTTACAGCGTTAGGTGGAGGTTGAGGAACCTAAAATTTCAAATATAAGTTATCATTTTTTAATCAAAGAATTGCTTCTTACTTATTACAGTATTTACTACATTTACCGCTGCATCCGGTGGTGGTGGTGGTGGTGGCGGCAGTGGCAAAGAAACCTAAAATTCAAGGATAAAGTAAATTATTATTATTATTATTTATTTATTAATTATTTAATTATTTGATTATTTATTTATACTAAATATTTACCACATTCGATATCACATGTGGCGGTGGAAATAGTGAGATCTGAAGTTTCAAAATGTGCTCAGTTAATTTTTCAATCAAAAGCTTGAACTTTTTACCACATTCTCATTAGACGAAAGCAATGGCGGAACCTAGAATTTTAAAGATAAGTATAATTGACATATCAAATTAAGTATTGATAATTTAATTAATAATTACCACACTTTCGTTAGACGATAGCAGCGACGAAACCTAAATTTCAAAAAAAATAAAATAAAATAAAATAAAAAATCATAAATGATAAGTATGAATGGCCATTTCTCATTGAAATATTATTGCTTACTAATATTTACCATATCTTCATTATGTGGCAACGGTGGCGAAACCTGAAATATGAAGAGTATGGTTAATTATTTTTAAATTGAAATAATTATTATGGTTCAGTATTTACCACATTCTCGTTAGATGATGGCGACAGCGAAACCTAAAATTTCAAAGACATATATAAGCTGTCATTTTAACCAAATGCCAGTTCTTATTCAATATCTACTATATTTTCCACAATATTATATAGTGAAGGCAACGGTAAAACCTAAAAGAAATATAATTATAATTTCACTTGTAGGCATCATTTCCTAATTCAATACTTACCATATTTTCCTCCACATTAGACGGTAATGAATTCTAAAAAATTTGAGATAAGTATGAATAATTTCACATCTAATGCTTAATTTCAGTTATCATTTCTTATTAAATACTTACCATATTCTTTATCACGTTGGGCGGCGGCTGCGGCAAAATCTATAATTTTTAGATAAGTATTGATATTTATTTTCAATTAAGGTAACATTCCATATTCAATTCTTACCAGCATTTTAAGAGCGATTTCACATTTTGATACTTAATTAAATTACACTTTAATTCCAATACTTACCATCATATTAGGCGGCAGCGACGAATTTTGTTTTTTTTTTTTTGAAGTAAGAACAATTTCGCACTTTAATATTTAATTATAGTTATATATACACTTACCATTATATTAGGTGGCGGCGGCAACGACAAAGGATTCTGTTTTTTTTTGTTGTTGTTAGAGTAAGAACAATTTCACAGTTATATACACTTTAATTTTAATACTTACCATCATATTAGGCAGCGACGACGACGACGAATTTTGGTTTTTTTGTTGTTGTTAGAGTAAGAACGATTTCACATTTTAATTACAGTTATATACACTTTAATTTTAATACTTACCATCATATTAGGCTGCGACGACGATGACAAATTCTGGTTTTTTTTTTTGTTGAAGAACGATTTCAAATTTTAATACTTAATTACAGTTATATCACTTTTAATTCTAATACCATCATATTAGGCGGTGGCGACACGACGAATCCTGAATCATCATTATTATTATTATTATTACTTTGTTGAAGTAAGAACAAATTTCACAATTTAATACTTAATTACAATTTAATTTTAATACTTACCATCATACTAGGCGGCAGCGGCGACAAACCCTGAATTTTTTTTTTTGTTGAAGAACGATTTCACATTATAATACCTAACTACAATTAATACACTTTAATTCTGATACTTACCATCGTGTTAGGCGGCAAAAGTGACGATGAATCCTTGAATTATTATTATTTTTTTTTTAAGGAATAGTTTCACATTTTAAATTTAATTCCAATTATACACATTTGAATTATAATACTTACCACCATGTTAGGCTGCAGCGGCGACAAAGAACCCTGATTTTTTTTTTTTTTTTTTGAAGAATTAATTTTACATTAATTAATTAATTACAACTATATACATTTTTAATTCTAATACTTGCCATCATGTTAGACGACGGCGACAATGAACCCTAAAAATTTGAATAATTTCACATTCTAAAACTATTCTAAAGCTTAAATGCTTTTATTTTTTGATGCTTAATGCTTACCATATACTGCAATATACCATTATATTGTGGGAAATTCTAAATCAGAAATAAATTTGAGAATTTAATTTCCCTCTCTACAAATAAATAAATAAATACTTACCATTATGAAAGACATGCTATCTCTATCATTATTTTCGCTTTGTGACAGATTATGAATCAAATTTTCATTAAATTCATCATCATAATATTCAGTTTGGATGCTATCTTCATTAACATCAAACTGAATATCATCATCATCAATTTGAACGTCGTCAGGAATATTTTCTTCGTACTGAATTCCTTGAGACCAAAGCTGATCAATAAGAACACAATGACCACGAGGTTTGTGACCAAAAACCAACTCAAATGGCCTTTTATTAGTAGCACGACATATGGATAAATTCATTGAATAAACTATAGTCGCCAAACCAACTGTCCAGTATAAATCCTCATTTTCATTTTGACGATCTTCAAGCCACTTTCCAAGTTTATCTTTCAATATATGGGCTTGGTACTACAGAAAAGGGAGAAATCGACAAAACAAAAGATCTTCAGAAGATCAATTTTTATGTTATAAATTTTATAATAAATCATAAGAAAATACAAACTTTAAAGGGCTATACTACAAAATTTTATTAATACAACTTCTTTTATGTTTAAGTGAAAAATGATCCTAATGTTATTCTAAATTGAGTTGTGTAAAAAAAAAATTTTTTGAAAATTTGTCAATTTCCTCCTTTTCTGAGCACCAAGCTTATATATTGTTTACTTATTTGTTTATTTCTAATTCCAAATATAGTAATAATATAGCTATTGTATTAATCTTATCTGGATTAACAATAAACCATATTTTTTGTTAAGAAAAATTCCAAATTTTTAATAAACTTTATTACTTATAAATCAATTTTATTATATGTAAAAAATACAACTAACTCTTTTTATAATAAACTGATAGTTCTGGAAAAAAAAAAATTTTATTAATATATTTTTTTAAGAACTTATAGCACTTCTATATTAAACTATATATTATGAAATTTTAAAATTCTGAGTTAGTTATATCCAGAGTTCATATATAGAGATTTTATATCCAAGTTGACTGTATAAATAACTTGTATTATCCGACATTTACTATGATAGTGCTGCCAAAATAACTTGAGTTATTTGGCAGTGATATGTTATCTGCCAAATAACTTCGTTATTTGGCAGTTTATGTAATCACTACCAAAACTCGAGTCATTTAGAAGCACAATCGTCGTAAACCATCGGATAAAACCGTTATTGAATGCTACGCTAGCCAATAACTCCTATGAATTATTTTACAAATAATTCTCGTTATTGGCTGCTTCGTATCCAATAACTATATATTATAATAAAGTAAATAACTAGTACCTTTACTGATGTTTCTTTTAATTCAATAGCTTTAGCATTTGTAACTTCAACATCATTAGCACTTGAATCACATTCATCTATACTTAAATCTATCCCAACTTCCTTATAACCACAATGCTTCATTTCATGAAATGGATATTTATTATTGCATTGAACTTTATTAATATATTTAAAAAATTGTTGTTTCTAGTGGCAGTGAAACTAAATATTTGTGAAGAGCAAACTGACTTTTAAGAATTGTACAGATATCAAATAATGCTTTTTTAAAAAAATCAGACTTTTTTTCATATATTTATTTTTTTTACATATGTTAAACATTCAGAATGAGATTTTTTTCACAAAAAAGGTTCTGATTTCAAGAAGTAAAAAATAAAAAAAAGTATAAAAAATATATTGTTGTTATTGATCATTAATCAAAATCTAAAATCAATTGTACATAATAAACCATCGGAACTATAAATTTGATTGAGTTTAAACCGTAACTGATTTTTTGGGCGTCGTGTACTGTACATACGTACGGATTTTAAAAATTGGCCTGTCACTATATGGATCTGCTCACCTATATAATACTGATCTGCGTAGTTTAGTTCCCTAACGCTAATGTTAATACTTTACGAAGCGATTAAATTTTATACTATGCCCCATCCAATGTCCATTTCTTTGATAGGACAATTCGGACACTGGGCATTAGACAGATTTCCATTGTCCAAATTTCATTCATGCCAACCCTGTCTAAAAAATTTACTTGTTTCAAATTAAAAAAAAAAACTATTAACTAGCGTTAAGCTATTATTAAAAAATATTTTCAATAAGTAACAGTATTACAAGAATTTAGCGTTTCAAATCTAGTAGAGTCAATTCTTTTCCACGGACTTTTTTATATTCTCTACATAGACTAAAGTCTATAATGATAATATTTATATTAGTCATCTGATCTTAAATTACGTATAGGTATCAATTTATATTCAACTTACAGCTATTTTTATAATTTCTGGAACACCTGATAAAAATTGACCGAATGATGTTCGGGCTGATTCGATTTAGTTTGCGATTTCGGCAATAATAGATTCAATAAAATCGATCAAGTGACTAATATAAATATTATGCGAACACTGTATCTCTGATGAAACAAAAAAGCGATACTTTCAAAGCATCTTCACTGGAAAATAAATTAGACGGCTTATCATTTCGAAAAAATGACAAATACTTAGGTATTAGTATATCTTCTATAAGTCATGTTCTTAAGCAGGTTCAAAGATATTGATGTGTTGAAACACTTCCGTCGCTTTTAAGGAAATCCATGTTCACTAAACATGAACGATGTAAAACATATTAAACTTTTAATATTGAGGGGAAACCCTGACTGAACTTTGAAGGCTATACACGACTTGGATTCACATATAAAAAAACAATATTTCGTTATTTATACTGTATAAATTTTCTACTTTGAATTTTGTTTATCATAGCTTTTCATGCATTTCTTCGTGTATTCTCAATAAATATAATAAAATTTTGATCGTTTCCAGAAATTCATTTTTAAATAAGTCGACAAATTTCATGGCTATATTTAATTTTTTTAATATTGGTACTTTTCTTATAATATTTTGTTATAAAAGTCCAATTTATATCTGATATTTCTTGCTAAGGTTTATTGGTTGACAAGCGCAGTTTTATCCATAAATTTTCGTGCAAACTAGACGCACAAATATGTTAGATAAGCATTCGAACGAAATTTAATAATGTTGACATTATCGTTATAATGATCAGTAAAAACAATCGTTATGATACAAAATAGCTTTTATTATTATGATCATGCCAAAATCACAAACTAAATCGAATCGGCCGAAAAATTATTCGGCCAATTTTTATCAGGTGTTCCAGGAATTATGAAAATAGCTGTAATCGAAACGTCGAAAAACATTCGGCTATTTTTTTGTGTTTCAGAAATTTGTAAAAAAAAAAAAAAAACTTGTGGCCCATGTCACTGATCACTGTCTTATGAAAACAATTATAAATTTATAATTTTGTGTATCTTATAAACATTATTTGCATGTTAGTTTTAGCGAAAACAAAACACTGAAACAGCCTATCTTTAAAGAATTCACATTTATGCATACTGGTTAACAGATCGAAAAGACAAGAAGGCATTAGTTAAGGGTTATACGCCACATGTTACAACTTTTTATTCGACTGCAAGCAAAAGTGAATGAATGTCTATCGGTAATTGATCTAATAAAGCAATCAGTATCGGATCTTAGGAATTTCTTGTGCAACGTAATAGAAAGCATTGGATATATATTATCAATATAAAAAGGGATCGTCGAGAACAGTTGGGACATTTTTAAGAACTTACCCCAATTAATCGGCTGAATAAATTAACCACCTACCTAAGAATTAAAAATTAAACAGCTTGTCTATTAAGGATTGTATCGTGATAAGCTTTTAAAGTGTTTAAATTAACGAAAACAGACTTTTGAAATGGCAAATGCTATTATACTTTATTAATTATTATGAATATTTTGAGTTTTCCTAATGCATTATTATAAAAAATGCTTAAGAATCGTTCTGATCTGAATATTTAAAGAATCTAATGCCTACCCAACCACTATGGTGCCATATTTTCCAGATATTAAAATCTCTATTACTTTTAAAAGATACAAATAATGATTAATAATAACTTGGCTAAACTAAAACATAAGACTAATACACATATAATATACACAATTTTAATTTGAAAAAATTATAAAATAATTAAAAAAAATTTCTTTTTAAAAAAGATTTTCATTATTCATTACTCTACAATATTGCGAACATGCTATGTAATTGAAAAAGGAAAAGCTGATTATAAAAGAAATTATACTAGCTAATAGAATAAACTACCAATTAATAAAGGAACAAAAGAGCCAACGATCAATTCTAAATAGTTAATCCGAACGCTTGGTGCAGTATCTGTAGCATCAAAAGGTACAATACTTTTTTTTTTTTTGAATAACAAAAAAAAAAGAATTGTCACTTAATCTGTTAAAATATTACATTTAAAAAAATTAAAATACATACCTGTCATCAGAAGTTGTACTAGCATGAGCATTGGAAATTACAACCTTTGTCGGACTACCAGTTTTTTGACCACTATTTGGATCACTATTCGGATTATCAGCTGGAGACCGAGGATCACCCGTCGGAAGACTACCTTTTGTATGAGCACTTTCCGGCTGACCAGCTGCCGGTTGATTACTTGTCGGAGGAACACCTACCGGTTGACTATTTGTCGGAGGAACACCTACCGGTTGACTATTTGTCGGTGGAGGAACCCCTGCCTGTTTACCATTTGCCGGAGAAGCATCTGGAGGAACACCTCCCGGTTGACTATTTGTCGGAGGAACACCTGTGAGAGGAACATTTGCTGGTTGATTATTTGTCGGTGGAGGAACACCTGCCTGTTGACCAGTTGTCGGTGGAGGAACACCTGCCTGTTGACCAGTTGTCGGGGAAACACCTGCTGGAGGAGCTGTCGGTTGACTATTTGGAACACCTGCTGGTTGACTACCTTCCGGAGGACCCTTCGGAGGATTCTTCGGATCATTTACCGGAGGGGTAGTGCCATTCAGAGGGTTAGTTGTCGGGGGACTATTGTTCGGAACACCTTTAGGGGCGGAGACATTGGTTGGTGGTTCTTTAGGAGTTCCAACCGGGGCAGCTGGTGGTGGTGTTCTTAAAAATTAATAGAAAATGTAGAAATTATATTTAAAATTATATTTAAATAAAAAAAAAAAAAAAGTTGGATTCTCAAAATTACTAACTTTGAAAACTTACATTTGAGCAAGTACGTCAGAGACGATAAGAATGCACACGAATATAATTATACTTTTAGTGATATTCATTTTATTAAAACGAAAGTATTTTTTTCGGATCAAGCCGACAAAGTTTTCATCTCCTTTTTAAGATATCTAATATACAACCTTTCGCACTTTAATAAAAGGAACAAGAACTATATTTATAATAAATCGTAAACAAGCCATTTTAGTTGAAGATGAGCATATCCCACCTTTCTCGTATCAGATATAAAATGTTTCTCTTTTTATAATAAAGCCGATGCGCAGAATAATAAAGCATATACCAATCGTAATTCTGGTTAATAATAGGAAACGTTTTTTTTATGAATCATCAGCCGATTAGTTGATTAATTTTTAGTCGACTAACCTATTAATTGAATATGACTAGTCAAATATAACTAATCAACTAGTGTAACATGAGATGTTTTAGTAAACGGACGGATGAAACTTGTACTTAATCTGTTATTGCATCTGAGGTGGATAAATATTTATAAGATTTGAACATCCTATAAATTATAGTTTCAGTCTCGCGTATGATCGTCCAAATTAGCACTCTTGGCACTTATACGCAGTGTTGGCCGATGACCTTAAATGATCTATATGACCTTTATGACCCGTCACAGTCATTTGATCATAACGAAGGTTTATATGACTTTGACCTTTTAATATAATAAGAATCATAGTAAAAAAATTTTTTACTAATGTTTGATATGACCAACGTGACTTATGACTAAAGAGTCATATGATTATATGGCAGGGTACTGTATAAAAAGTTATGACTTAGGTCATCGGCCCACTGCTTATACGTATGTACATACGTACATACAATATCGAAAGTTACGTACAATTATAACCCTCCCAAACATTGCTACCAAATGTCACTTTCACTTGGTACAAATGGTACACCAAACATTTATTTATTTTTTTTTATGTTTATAAGCTGCCTCTATGCATCCTACTAAAAGTGAGTGAATGTATTAATGTTTATAATATTTAACGTATACTATTTACTAGACAATATTTTTACATGTTTATTTTGCTTTTTTTTTGTTATTAAGGTGGGCAAACTTTTATTAGTAAGACCATGCAAATTAAATTAGTTGTTTCTCCGTTACATGGGACAAGCAAATAGGACCCAGCCGGCCGGCAAAAAAATGGTATATTTAGAAAAAATTTTTTTTCTTTCAAGAATAAAAAATTTGATGTAGAAAAAATTTTTAACTATTCTAAAAAAGTTACCCGGCCGGGTAACGAGAAGCAACTTTATTTATTTGCATGGTCTAAGTATTTGATTTTTTATATTTTTTACTGCTTTATATACTTATAGTAATTACTATGTCATTATATTTAAGTAGCTTAAACCTTTATAAATTAGCCCTTTTTAAATATAACTTTTTGAATACTGTAGACTCAATTTAACGAATCTTTTTATAACAGATTCTCATCATAGTGATCTAAAATTTTTAAATTTTATTTAGGCCGCTTTTAGTTGATTTTTAGGTTAACGTCAATATTTAGGCTCAGGCATGGTGGGGGGATTTAAACAAACACTTATAGTCCCAAGAATATTTAATTACATGATTAATGAAGTTTATACTGCGTTGTGATTGGCTTGTTTAATTTTCGGGGGCAGTTAGCGAGGGGGATGACGTTAACCTAAAAATCAACTAAAACGGCCTTAGTTTGGCATAAAAAATGTTTATTTGTAATAATACAGTATATAAGGAAATAAGGGTAATTTGGCAAATTTGGATATATCGTGATCCCGTGATCGGATCCGAACAATTTTTATACCATTCTTCGAATGGTAAAAAAATCGTTTAGATCCAGTTACAGGATCACGATATATCTTCGATTATTTCCAATTCACCAAACTACACCAGCATACATAAATTCCGTTCTAACTCACATCACAACACACATGTGCACTTGATTTGGTACGTGAATGATATGTGTGACCAATGCTATTACAACTTCTATACACAATGATAAATACCCAGAAAATATTCACGCATCACGTTTACAGTTTTTATGAAACGATCTTCCACTAAAAGAGGTGAGGCAATCAACACTGCACTTAAAAAGTTAAATGATTGCCCTCCCGGGTCCAAACCTCCAAGTATAAATAGTTTGGTGAAAGACTTGGTCTTTTGGAAACTACTCTTCAGTGTGCAGTTAGTAATAGTGATCCCTCTAAATAGAGCTCCAATCCGAATCAATCCGTCATCTATTTATCCGATAAGCTATATCCGGATATCCGGGTTTTTTTTAATTTGGATATCCGACCGGATTAACTGAACTATCCGATCGGAATCACATGATTTTGGTACCATTCGATTCGTCTCATCAAGACGAATCGAATGATACCAAAATCATATGATTCTGATCGATAATTCGTGAAATAATCAATGTTTTGGCAAGTTATTTTTTTTTTGTCAATTTTCGTCCAGACTCAACTTCGACATTTCAAAATATAATCAAGCAAGTGCAAACTTCAAGTACAACAGTGTTACTGTTTATTTGGAGAGCTCTATGCTTTAATAGCCATCTGAACTCAAGTGGTTGACAATAAGTAGATATTATATTAGGTAAACCCAAATTATGGTGCGAATCGCCTATAGACTGCCGTTTAGCTTGGGATGTTTAACAAGATTTGAAATCAATTATAAATCAAAAATATATTCATTACGGCGGATTGGCGGAATTGGACCTTTATTTATATACTTAAATTTGAACCCTAAATTTACTTAATAAAGTAACACAAAGTAACATACACTAGCTTTAGATAACTGATGTCATATTAATATGCACTTCTTGTATTAATATTTGCTCTTTGTATTAATCTATTGCATATTTGGATATCCATCTATTTATCTATTTTATTTATTTATTAATCTGATATTTGGATATTTTAGATAAATAGATAATAGATTGGAGCTCTAAAATCTAAATTTTCTATAGTAAAAAAAGAAGCTAAATATTTACAAAAGTCTCAAAACATGCTTTTTATATTTGGTTTTTAAGTATTTGGTTTTTTATATTCTAGTAATAAGTTTATAACCAACTACAAATTAGACTAAATCTAATTAGCTTTTTTTAAAATATATATATATATATATTTTCTTAACTCTTTACTAGTAAAAAAAATTAATGCCAATTAGAAAAGTTATACATAGAAGCAAAATATAAATCTGAAGAAGCAAGGCAAAAAAAAGAAGCAGAACTCCAAAAAAAAGCTAAATAAGAAAAGGCAAAAAGCTTTAAAAAAAGCCAAACAGAAACTGTATTTAGCCCAAAAAAAATAAAAAATAAGTTTAAAAGGCTTTTGAAAAAATAAAAAAATACTAAAAAGAAAAGTAAAAAAATTTTTTATTCTATTAAATTACTTTTTTGATTCTAAATTTTTATTTTTTGGTACTATATATAAAATAGTAATTTTACTAATTTTGATTTTTGTTTTACCTTTTTTTTTTAAATAGATCTATTTCAAATATAGTATAGTTTTGTAACTTCAAATATCTAAAACTTTACATACTTAATAAAAAGTTTGTTGAACAGAATTATTAATTTTGCCAAATTACTTCTATTTACTTTATAATAAACTTTTTTATATTTAAAATATTATTTTATTACAAAAAATTTTGTATATTTTAAAAAATTATTTAATATCTAGTGACTTTTAATAACAATTCATAACAGGTTATATGTAATATATATATATTAAATAAATTGAACCCAGGTGATACACAAAAAATTCTCAAGAGGTGTGGCGATATAGTAAATTGGTAGAGTTGTTACCCCAAGTGGCAGGTTTAGAGTTCAAATTCAAGTGACAATAATATCGAATAATCGATCTGTATTTGGTATAATTGTCCACCAATTAGCCATCTAGAATAGGAGCTTTGATACACAAAATCTAGATAATCAAAATGATCAATACCTATTTGAAAGACCTAAGTAAGAAGATAGCTGAAACCTTCAACAGTGCTATAGAAAAAACCAAATTAGAAAGTTAGAACTAAGACTAATAAAACCAAGCAACAAAATATCTTTAAGTGAAGAAATCTATAAACCAAACCACCAATTTAAAAAACTAAAAATTGACAAAAGTACACAGTGTATATCAACTGAGTCCTGGCTTGAGAAACTAGTAGCAAAGAAGCTCTACCTCTAACAGACATGTAGATTGGAAGTAACAGACTAATAGACACAAGACAAAAAAATATACCAGGTGCTCCTAAGGACTAGAATTTCAAATTAAAGAAAAAAGATATATACTATGGAAATATATATCAAGACAAGATAGGCCAAAGGCATCTAGAGCCAGGCCAGAGTCAAATCTTCTGAGTTGTCAGTTGGAAGTAAGAGATAGAAAATAATAGAAAAAGAAAAGTTTGAATATAGATATCGAGATAGAAAGTAAATCTTATAAAGACATAGTAGTTACTAAACTATATTGCAAATAGAATTTTCAGAGATTGCAAAGAACTAGACTAGCTGAAATAGGGTATAGAAGGCTCTAGTAGGTTTATCTCAAGGATACCTGTATATCTGCTTATTAGAGAAATGCAAGCTGGTAATTAGTTAATGCAAATTTACAATAAAGCATAAGCATTCTAAAGCAAGACTCCTAATTTCAGTATGGCTAGCAGATGTTAGTACATGAGTTACTAGAAGATTGTTATAAAAATAGTTATGATTAAAGAGTTTAAATAGGTAGTTCTAGTTTGGCTACAGATACAGGCATCTAGTATAGATAGCACCAAAAGCATAGTAGCTAGTTGTATTTTTATTGTAATTATATTAGTATATATCTGTTAATAAAATAGCATCAGGCCAAAGAGATCATCTTAATTCTAAAAAAAAAAAAAAAAAAAAATTTTTAATTTTGATTGGCTAATATTCAAAGATTTTAGAATTTTGCATATATTATATAATTGTTTACTAATTTCTAACTAGAATTAACTTTTTATTTTTTCATTACAAATATAAAAATTTTTTAAAAAATAAATTTTTATATTATAATAAAATTAGTTTAGAAATACTTT